GTTTCCTTGCTAAATTTAGCGGGAAAAATGACGTCCCATGACTTCGCGTCACGTCACCTACAAACAAATTCAGTTTCTCCGCTAGATCTAGCGGGAAAATTGACTTCACGTGACCTCAATAGCGATTCAATTCCCCGCTAAATTTAGCGGGAAAATTGACGTCACAGGATCCCAACACAAATTCAGTTTCCCCGCTAAATTTAGCGGCGAAAATGACGTCACATGACTTGGTGTCACGTCACCTATGAACGAATCTAGTTTCTCCGCAAGAGTTAGAGAAAAAATTGACGTCACATGCGGAGGAGTGGAGAGGAGGAGGAAGGCTGTCACGATCCTCATGACAATGATTGCGCCGCGGCCGCGATCGAAGAAGATTTGGAAGAGGACAAGGTGGGGAGCGCGCGACCGAGCAGGCAATTGGAAGCTAAGCACGGACCGCGACGGACGGCCTGGAGATCGCTCAAGAGCTGCCACGGTCAGCGGAGCGCTGAGTCTAGCGGTCTGGTCGACGGAACCTTCGCCGGGCTCCGGCACGTGGGGCTGCCATGCACAGCTCCCAGCCAAGTCTGCGCTACGACCTCCAACCATCGAGACGAAGACAACCGCCTTCACGAGGACACGCCACGGAGGACTCGTGAGCGAGATTCACCTGATGTGTCTATGACTTCACGGAACTTTGACTAATGCTGAGACGCGTGTAGAGATTTCTTTATTGTACCTTTTTTTCTGGTAATTCTCTTTCTTTTCTGACGGTTTACTTTTATCTTTCTTTCTCCATTATAGTTCTTCCGCTCCCTTAAATAATATAACGTATTTCTCATTCCCAAAACTCTCATGGTCTTTGTCTTCCTCTTCTCCGAACGGGCGGTGACAAAGGGAAGGGGAGGAGGATGAAGGACGGAGGAAGATGAGTGAGGGAAAAGAGGATGAAAGGAGGGGGAGTATACCATCCCCTCCGTACCTTCCCATCCTCCTCAAGAGCTGCGCTCTAATCTCCCGTCACAGAAATTTGTAAACATCTTTTTTTTTTTTAATAGGGTAATTTTTTACTTGTTTTTTGCGCTTGATTCTGAGTTTTTCTTTTTCCTGACTTTGTTTTTTATTTTGATTGTGTAAAAAATAGAAGTTTAACAGTGTTAAAATTAAGATCGCCTTTCTTTTCTTTTTCAGTGATGTAAATGGATGTCCTCTGTATATATTGAAATCATTTAAGTGAAGTACAGCCTTTTTTTTTTTTCCGTAAAGGTAAGGAGTAATATAAATGTGTATTGCCGCGCGCAGGGCCAAATAAGCAACGCTCGGTCACGGACTTTAAAAGATTCGTGATTATTCCTGCTTGGGACGTAACTTTTATCATTTCGTCCTGGTTTCTTGTTTTCGAAAGTGACTGTTCATTCTCACCCCGAACGGTCGAACCTTCTGGGCCGATTTTTCGAGATGCTGACGTACGCTAGATAAGGAGCTGCGCGGGACCTTGTCGAGTCACTTTCGCTTGCTGTCACGCCGCCAAATCGCCGCCCGCTTTTCTGCTGTCTCAACGCTCGCTCTTTATTTTGTTTTCTGGCACAAGTTCGCCGATTAAAACTTTATTTTCAGTTTATATTTATCGAACCCTTTTCCATCCGCGACCGTATGTACATTTTTACTTAATGCGAAAGCATACTGTCCCATGGAGAGAAGCCGGCGGCGTCTGTAGCCGTTGTCTGTAGCAGCAAAAAACGGCAACTAAATGCTCATTGGCTGAGGGAAACGGCATTTAAAGTCCCATTGGCTGCGACGAAGCTTCCGTGACGAAGTATCTCAGCTGCTTCGTCACGGAAGCGGGCGAGGCCGCTCGAGGTCAAAGCAGGCGCGCCTCAGAAATAAAACAAAGAAAAGCACAGCAACGCAGAAGCATCATTACGGAAGCCGGTCGGCCGCTCAAGGTCAAAGCGGACGCGCTTCAGAAATAAATCAAAAGCACGGCAACGCAGGTGCATCGCCATGGAAGCCGTAGAGCTGACGGGCGCGCCGCGCCTGCGCAGCGGGGGAGCATGATGTCACGCCGGAGCGTTGTCTGCAAAAGGAAGACGTGGCGCGCTGCTTCTAGGAATGGGCTAAGGTAGGAATCTTTCGTATTCCTACACGCAAGCAATCTTAAATGTATCTGCCGATTTTTTTCATCCATCTTATGGTTTTTTTCTTTTCCTTATTTTTTTAAGACAACATAAAATTATAAGACAATACAGTGCAAAACAAAACGAAAACCTTTTGTACAGGTATGCACATGCAATATTTTATACATTTTGACATTCTCTTTTTTTCAAAAGAGGAATAGTTGTTTTCCAGGATGCCTTTCGAGAATCCTTTATGTTTCCAAGGTTCTTTCTACACTGTTTTTGTTCAGTTTCTAGACAGATGAGAAGAGCAGGTTTTGTCTTTGTCCATGGCCTTTTTAATATTCCCCTAATAGTCTTTTGAGGCGACCGGCCTTCCAGGCGCGGCGGGAGTACAGTGCACTTGAATACGGAGCAGTGTTTGGACCGGCGCGGCTCGGTAGTGGGAACTTGTGAAGCTACGCCTGTAGACAATAATCGCGGCGCTGCGGTCGACAGGACAGCAGAAAGTCGCTGCAACCCGCATGTGCTCGTGCACGCGGAGCACACGCACAACCACCACCATACTGACCCTGCTAGCGATGCGCCGGTATCGACACCTATCTCTATCTACACCACACGCGAGCCGCTCCGGTTCCAACACTACCCTGTATTCTAGTACGCTGTAGCAGGAATGCACGTTTTAACATTATCTACACCGGCGAGTCACGTGCTTCGGTGTGTAATCCCTGCTCGTAGCACGACACAGCTGCCACAAACAAACGATCGCCCCTTCTTTATTATTTTTTTAAGAATCAAAAGGCTGTCAATTATTGTTCATCTCAGGCTTTAACCTAAGCAGTAAAGATCGGTGGTGCCTGTCAATATACATGTTCGAAAAGTCCATCAAACAAGATTGGCGGTCGCCATTGACAGAAACTAGCGGGAATATGTGGAGAGGAGGGGAACACTTTGGGCATGAGTTTTAGTAGTGACAAGTCTGGATTAATGGTGTTAAACGACGAGCGTCCGGTGTCAAGCAAACGGCACGTGCCGGAAGGCGTTTGCTTGAGACCATTTTCTGTGGTTATGAACCCCTGAGGATACAAGGCAATGTAATAGACCATGTAGGTAAATACAAATATCTGGGAGTCTGGCTCAATGAAGGAAGGAAATATCTGGAGGAACATGAGGAGAGTATAATTAGAAAAGGAAAAAGAAATTCATCGATCATGAAGCTCGACATACCATGGAACTATAATAGATACGAAGTGGTCAGAGGAATAAGGAAAGGAGTGATGGTACCAGAACTGTCTTTTGACCATGGGGCGCTGTGCATGAAATCAGGGGTGCAATCAGGATTAGGAATTCGACAAAGAAGCGTAGGCAGATTGGCATTGGGAGCACATGGAAGACACCTAATGAGGGAGTACAGGGGGACATGGGATGGTCGTCTTTTGAGAGCAGGGAGGCAATTAGTAAGTAGAAATTTGAACAAAGGTTGACCGAAATGGATATGAGATGCGCGCGGAAGGTATTCAAGTATCTTTACTTAAAAAGTTTAAACACAAAATGGACAAACCGAACCCTAAAGCTTACATTTAATATACCTACACACTTTTGAAGAGGCTGAGCATACTACCTCAGTAAAAGAGGGAGTGAAGGAGGCAGAGAGAAAAATGTGGGAGGGAAGAATGCAGGAGAAATCAGCTCTAAAGGTGTACAGGTCACGAAAGTAGGGCATAAGAGAGAAAAATAAGTTTAACAATTCACTGAGAAGTTCTTTGCTGTTCGAGGCGAAAACGGGAGTTTTGAGGACGAGGACGTAAAGGCCTAAATTTCTGCTCTCAAAAGACGACCATCCCATGTCCCCCTGTACTCCCTCATTAGGTGTCTTCCATGTGCTCCCAATGCCAATCTGCCTACGCTTCTTTGTCGAATTCCTAATCCTGATTGCACCCCTGATTTCATGCACAGCGCCCCATGGTCAAAAGACAGTTCTGGTACCATCACTCCTTTCCTTATTCCTCTGACCACTTCGTATCTATTATAGTTCCATGGTATGTCCAGCTTCATGATCGATGAATTTCTTTTTCCTTTTCTAATTATACTCTCCTCATGTTCCTCCAGATATTTCCTTCCTTCATTGAGCCAGACTCCCAGATATTTGTATTTACCTACATGGTCTATTACATTGCCTTGTATCCTCAGGGGTTCATAACCACAGAAAATGGTCTCAAGCAAACGCCTTCCGGCACGTGCCGTTTGCTTGACACCGGACGCTCGTCGTTTAACACCATTAATCCAGACTTGTCACTACTAAAACTCATGCCCAAAGTGTTCCCCTCCTCTCCACATATTCCCGCTAGTTTCTGTCAATGGCGACCGCCAATCTTGTTTGATGGACTTTTCGAACATGTATATTGACAGGCACCACCGATCTTTACTGCTTAGGTTAAAGCCTGAGATGAACAATAATTGACAGCCTTTTGATTCTTAAAAAAATAATAAAGATCGTTTGTTTGTGGCAGCTGTGTCGTGCTACGAGCAGGGATTACACACCGAAGCACGTGACTCGCCGGTGTAGATAATGTTAAAACGTGCATTCTTTTGGTTTTGAAGTGCCCTCCCTGAAGGGGTAACGGATTCGGCCGGGGCCTTGGATTTTATTGGCGACGATGGAAGGATGGAAGAGAAAAAGGATTACAGTCACAAAGAGGCGATGAGAAGACTGGTGGAAATTATCTATATAGGAAAAATCGAATGATGCAGAACTAACTAGCACAGCTGGGGAGAGACAAACAGAAGAAAATTGGGACTCCCTCCCGCGTGGCTACGGTGCTGGGGTAATACCGACAAGGTTTGACCAGAGAAAATTGGCGACCCCCTCGCCGGGGAGGAGGAGGCGGGGGTGATGCTTTTAGCTTTTCTTTTTTTTTGTCCGATTCCCCGGAAGGTCATCCTGGTGATATCCCACACTGCCCGGTGATAGTTAGAAGGACAGGAGGAATCATGTTTGTCTTTTTACTTAGGCTGGGTGGCGCAAGCTGCCGCCCGTTACAAAGGGTATAGCCATCAATATCCATCCATGCATCCATGTACACGAGGCGCGCGATTAGATCCGAGTCCTCGCCGAACGCCGACGCAGCCCTCATGTCCAATACATGCTCGGAACACGATGAAGAGTACCCAACCCCGACGGATCCGCAAAAGAGGACATGTCCACGGCTGTCAAATTTGTATGGGGGGGTTCCACGCGCCGAACTAATGATGGGCATCTGGTACGCTCTAGTAGAGGACTAATTTCGACCACGTGGGAATCGTCTAATGTGCGACAAAGAGCTCGGTTACCATGGCGCCTTCTCCGCAATATACCTGCATCAGATCGCAGGCACCTTGGTTGGGAATCAAACCCGCCACCCGAGTCCCGCACTAGTGAATGCGAAGCTCGCTTCTACATCACTGCTTGTCAGTCTGTTGTTTTGTGCATACACGCACCTTTGTCACAGTTGGGTGTTACTGCATGCAGCATATGGAAGTACGTCGGAAGCAAGTGCTAAACTTTATTTAGGCAGTGATTACCGTGAAAAAGGGGGGATACACCTTGTCACAGCCAAATTACTGCTACCCCCCCCCCCCCCCCCGGTTATAATGAAGTAATGGAAAATTTGAATGATGCAAGTGAGTGAACCAGAAGAAACATAATGATAGATCCAATAAATTATCCCAAGTCTTCCTTACCAACCCCTCAAGACTAAGGCAGTGCACAAAGAATGTCAATGCTCCATCACCTTGCTCAGCGGTGTAGCCTGGAATTCCTTTCGGGGTGGGAGAACTAAGGTGGATGCGATGTCTATGACTTGGGCTGCGGAGGGGTGGGAGGGGGTCAAAATGCATCTGTAAACGTTGTCTGAACGTGGTATCATTTAGCTAAAAGGTGAGTCTGACACATTCACACTGTTTGCTGTTGTTGCTGTCCTTGACCTGAATCACACACTCCTCATGACGAAGGGATGAAGCGAGCAGTTGTTCTCTTCACTGTCTTCCCCAACTTCCTCACAGAACATGCAATCACTTCAAATGAAGCAGCAAAAACCTAAAAAAAAAAAAAAAAACATGAATTGCAATAAACAAGCATTTGTTAACATATTTAAACATCAACCGCTTAAACCATGATACACACAATAAAGCCATGCAATTAATGGATGAGCCTCTGAGACAATTCCTCCACTGATAGCGTGATAGAGTATTTTGGCTCTGTTCGCTATTGGTCATCATTGGGGGAGTGTCCTAAACTGGAAGTCTCCCTGGACTTCACTCGCGGTGGCGTATCATCTCCTGAAGCTTCTTACATTTATGCTCGATTTCAACCAGCTTACCTCAAAGTTCCCAGCATGCTTCACGTGCACTGCGCTAGGGCATGTACTACTTTGCAGAAGGGTCCATTTACTTTGTCATTTTTGTCTCGCTTCTTTATGCATTTATATTGTTTTCATATTTATGCAATCATTAGCGATGCAAAAGACCAACGAACACGATTATACTCACCACACCTCTGTTGAGAAGACGGCTTGGCAATCTTCCGTGCAGTGTTAATTTGTTCATCCTCCTAAGTTGACCCCAACAGTTGTTTCATTCTGTCAACACCGAACGGTCCGGAGGGGCTCACTGCTGCAGCAAGTTCCTGAGGTAAGTGCAGAAAAAAAAAAAAGTTCAGCCTGGGGTGCATGTAAAACAGTCATTCCATTTAATCGTGCATTTGTGATAGCATTAGGTCGAACTACCTTCAATTCCTGAATGGCTCGCGTCATGTCGATGGTGGGCGCGCACTGTTCACGAGAATCGGAAGGTACGGGAGAAAGCCGTGGCAGTTCTGCTTTCTTGTCGTTCCGCGCTTTTCGGTGCCTCCGAGTCTCGGCCAGTCTTGAGAGGAATGTGGCCTGGAAAAAGCAGAAGGAAACAAAATCTCTGCAAGTTGGACAATCTTGCCCACATCAAGATCTATTAAGCGAAATGGTACCATTGGCGATTTGGCCGAACATTTAGTGGCCCTTCCTTGCTTGTCCCATAAGATCTTGGGATATGCACTCACAAGTGACTCTCCAAGCCGCTGGTATTTCCAACGTCTTATAGCCGGGTTCAAGTCTTCGATCAAGTTGTTGTTGCTTTAGTGGGATAAAAAGAAATTATCCATCGTTTCAGGTGGCAGGCACAGCTACAAAGTGAACACTGCACAGTCGCAATAAAAGTCAACCAGAGCACACGATTGCATGTTGCTGTTCCTTCTGCAGGCGTTAGACTGGCGAGGCAGGCATGAGCAAATGGTTGCCTGGCGGAGGGCACACGTGTAGGTCAGTCTAGTGTGTTTGGGTACGACCAATATTGCACACAAGTTTGTCTGGTTCTTGTGCAGGGGGTAAGGTCGCATCAGGATCAGGCATTCGGGTGGCAAGCGCCGGCGTCGTCTGCTAGTTGTAGCGACGTCTGTTTTCCCTTTTCTACGGCTTTCGGATGTTTGCCATTTCTTTACCAACGAGGACCTAGCCTTCATCAAATGGGAAGGAAATACCCAAAGGAGTACAATGTGTTTGTTTGACTAACAACTACCAGATGCATGCCAGCGAAAGAGAAACCCAAGGCCGAGGTGTGCCGTCTGCTCTGGACTGCAGAGCAGCTGCAAAGACACAGCTTTGCCTCCTCTTCTCTACCTGCATGCCGTATTGGTCATATGACCAACTGATTGTGCCGGCTACAGTGATGTGATCAGTCCAAGTTATTTTGGAGCAGCCCTTGGAGCAGCCAAAAATCAATTTTAAGGTAGCAAAAATAATTTTTGGAGCATGAGTGCACATTTTATTTTCATTCATACCACCGAAAATATTATGCTAAGATTATTATGTCATCCTGTCCAACTAAAAGCCAATGTCTGCTTTGCATTTCCACTTATGTGCAACTTTTTGTAAGCATCAGTTGCACAGCAGAAGAAATTCCCTCAAACACAGAACTATTGCTTAGTTGTGTGGAGGAGCACCAGACAAGGTAACAATAAGATGACCGATGAAGGACAGCACAAACTGCTGTGAATGCTTATTTTAGGTAATGAATCCCACTGAACTAATATTAGAATACAACAATTTCGAGCACCTAAATTAACGATTCCTTCACGTTCTAGAGGTTGTAATAAACTGTGATTTATAATTTACATTAAAAAAACAAAGCACTTGTCATTTGATTGGGAACGTCAATTACATTTTATATGAAGAACTTCTTAAAAAAGAAAGGCATTTAAACGATCAATTCCGAAAAAACAATCCTACACAATTCGTCCATGTTCTTCCCAAGCTTCCATCCACTGCACCTATCAATTTAATTCTAATCAACACCACCTATATAAAAGTGATAACTACACAAATGAGTTTGCATAAAAATAGACCTAGAAAAAAGTGCATATAAATATTCTTGCGATACTAAAGTATTCCTGCCAAATTTCAAACTGGAAAGAGGTACTGCCAGGATATCGCAGTCTATCATACATGCGTGGGGTCGGCAACCCGCAGCCCGCGGGACAATGTCAGAAACCTCCCCCAGTTTTGACCTCAAATGGGGTTAGACAGGATTGCTTCCAGTTGGCAATGTCCTCCATCTTCACACTTACCGTAAAATTTTGCTGAAGCGCCCGCTTCGTTCAAGAGCCCACTATTAACGTGTTCCAAGCTTGGGAATTCTGCAAGTTGTGCGTCAAGCACCCATGTCTAGATTAATCCAGTTATTAGTGAAAGTGGGTGCTCCCCCGGTATTTTACGGTTGGCAGATAACGTCTTCACTTCCTTTTTTTGTTATTTTAGGGTCCGAACTTGACCCTGACCTTGAGGAAGCAGCGTCACAGAACGGATAATCTGTTCATCCCCTTCTCTCTCCTTGGAGGCAAGATGGCGAGGAGATACCGTAAAATACTGTACATCCGCTCATTCTGCACTAAGCATCCACCCTCAAAACTTAAAGCATCTGAAAAAATATGCACAGTACATATATATGTAAAACTGATGACCTCACATGCACCCATCCCCTATTTTTTCGCGATTAGTATCGTCAAATTTTGAGTGGGCACTTGCTTGGTATTTTACGGTTGGTAAAATGAAAAAGCGTGGGTTACTTCTTGGAACCTTGGCCGAAGTCCCACTGCTGGAACATTCTTTACGCTGCTGCCACTAGCAGCGCATGTTTTGATTGACGACTGCCAGAGCAGAAAGGTTAACTTTTTTCTGTTGTGTCCGATATTCTCAAGGTACCTGTCTACAATTTGAGAGGCAAGTTTCCAAATAATATTGTATTCAATGCACGATTTGCTTGCTAGTATTTGCTTTTATAATTCTTTTTTTCAGCGTGTTTCTCTCGGTGACATGCCCCTTTCTAAGGGTGGCAAGAAAAGAAAATAGCATCAGAATGTTGGACATATCAAGATCGGTGGACAGATGATTGTCTCTTTATTAAATGCAAGGATAAGGCGGTCTGCCTTGACTGTAAAGAAGCTCTCTCTGTCTTCAAAGAGTATAATTTACACTGGCACTATGAAACTTATCCTCGTGCCAAGTACCACCCTTTGATGTCACAGGCTAGAACCAAGAATTGAGAGTTTGAAGAAAGGCCTGTCTACGCAGCAAGACATCTTTAAGAACGTTGAGGAAAAGGTGGCTCTTGTTCAGGCTAGTTACACTGTCCCCAAACTGATTGCGCAGAATGAGCAACCTTTTACAGATGAACTTGTTAAGAAGTGCCTATTGAGCGTCACTAATGATCTTTGTCCGGAGAAAAATTTGTTCAAGAAACAGTCTATATCTGCTCGAACTTCATCAGGAGATCTGAAGACATGGGCGAACAGTCGTTGTGTGATTTGAAAGATAGAGCAAAATTTTTCCAGTGCTTCTCTCTTGCGCTTGATGAAACCAACGATGTCTGTAACACAGCTCAGTTACTCATTTTTGTTTGGGAAGTTGATGCTAAGTTTAAAGTGACAGAGGAGCTAGCTGCTCTTCAAAGCCTGAAGGGCACAACAACAGGTGAAGATATATTTATACTGAGGTGTGCAAATCTCTAGATAGGCTGCAGCTAAGCTGGAAGGACCTCAAAAGTGTGGCGACTGATGGTGCAAGGAAAATGGTCGGTTGTAAAGCTGGTGTTATTGGACGCATTAATTCCAAAATGGCACGCCTGACTGTTAGTGTCCCTATTCACCTGCTTCGCATTATTCACCAGGATCCATTGTGTACCAAAGTGATGCGTTCAGAGACAGTAATAAAGCTCATTGTTTCTACCGTAAATTTCATCCGCTGTCACGGCTTAAACCATCGACAGTTTCAGCAGTTCTTGTCCGACACAGAAGCTGACCATGGAGATATCTTGTATGACAGTGCAGTTTGTAGGCTTAGCAGGGGACAAGTATTGTGTTGCTTTTTTGTGTTCCATGAGGAGACCGCAGCGTTTCTTCTTGAAAAAGGCAAACCACAGCAGGAGCTGTCCGATGTTAGGGTCCGAGAGTTGGCTCTACTGGCTGATGTTACTCGCCACCTAAATGAGCTCAGTGTAAGATTGCAAGAAAAAGGGAAACTCGTGTTTGGGATGCTCGCAGACGTTAAAGCTTTCGAGCTGAAACTCGACCTTTTCCAACAGCAGGCTACTGAGTCTAATCTTTGTCACTTCCCTTGCTGCCAAAGTTCTGCGGGAGAGATGAGCACACCGCTTTCCACAGAAAAACTGTAACCTATTTTTGTCAACTGCAACCTTGTGACATGCGTGCTGAAAATAAACATGTTGTCTATTCCAGTCTTGTACATTATTCTCAAGGTCGCGGATGCGGTGTCGGCTTCATGACAGCTCAGACCTCCGCCTCAAAAGGTTGCCGACCCCTGATACAAACCGAAGTTGTGTTCAGAAAGTGTGTCGCGTCTCGCTCTGAAGAAGTGCTCTCCTGTTAGCACACGGGTACGCTGCGGCGGAGCGAGACATGCAAAATGGCAATGCCTATTCTACGGTTGTCACTTCTCTGCAGTACACCAGTGCGCGGTGAGGAGCGCACCCAACAAAACCAGCTAACCCTCCAGAAGAGACCACGAACATGGCCATTATTGCGTAACTGCCGAGTACCGTCAGTCTTTGATAGGAAATGCAATCGAACAGTATGTTATTTGAGGCAATAATCAAGAATTCTAAAACCTTGCACGAGCAGATCGTAACGACCCGGCTGGGTTGAGAGGCCTGAGCTATTATATGCTCAGTATAACTAAAGTGAAATTAAGTTTTGCCGTGATATTTGCACAAATTCCTCACATTTTAGCAGGACGTAGCAAGGTAAGCACTCGAGCGCAGTTTGGCGCAGCAATTATGTCACTGCAACTAGCACCCTGTGGCAAAGAAAAAAAAGCATGTTGTAGGAAACTCGACGTACTATAAGAAAATTCCCTCATTTGCAGACTCACTTGAGGAAATCAATAAGTTCGTGCCTCAACTGTCGAGCAAGACGATTCTGCTCGTCTCTGCTCATGCTCTGGCCGTGCAACAGTGGCTGGATGGCGTCGGAGAACGGTGGCACCACGTTGTCCTTCGACCACATTTCTGACATCCTCTGGAAAAACAAACATTAGAAATATCAACCCTGGAAATTGAGACCAATAGCCTAGGCTGCAAGATCATTTGTTTAAGAAACATTAAAAACTGCGAGCTCACACAAAGAATTTTGAGCTTTTCTTTTATAAGGGAGTCCCTTTGAGCGAGCCTTGTTATTAACGTAGGTAAACATAGGTAAGTGGACTTTCATTTAGTATGCCACTTTGAACTCCTTTGCTGACATTACTGCATGGTGCTTGGCACCGTTGGGATAACTTGTGTAAGGCAACACATGAGTGAACAATCTGCAGCATCGTGTGCGAACCACAGTGAATCACAAACACAGCTGAAAATTTATTTTCCAAAACCTGGTTAAATAAGAAAAAAAAAAAAAAAAGGGGGAACAGAAAACCCCAAGAACACCTTTTTTCACACATGTACATTCCAAACAGCTAGCAGGACAATGATGGCATCTGCGACATCTTCCTCCTCTCTTATCTTTTAACCCTGTCACCCCGACCCAAAACGAACAAAACGACTTTTCTTCCAGAAAACTTGTAGACACTTCAAGGACATCAGTGGAAGAAAGGGAAAAAGATCACCACAAACGTTTGATAAAAGAATCATTTACAATACTACGTCATGAAAATGCCGTTAATATGCCTTCGTTTGGTTTGTACCAAGAACTTCGGCGGTTTCTTAGGTTTGGAAAAGTGCTGTCCTTAAAGTGTTTACAAGTTTCCAGGAAGAAAAATTGTTTTGTTTGTTTTGGGTCCAGGTGACAGGATGCAAAGATAAGAGAGGAGGATAATGTTGCAGCGGCCAACTGTTTGGAATTAGTCTTGTGCGAATAGTGGATTTTGAGTTCGAAGCGAATTCGAAGCGAATAGTGCTTTTGGCCGAATATTTTTGAATCGAATATCGAATAGTTTTTCCACGCCTTTCACTACCATAACATAATACTTAGACAAAACCCCAGCGAAACTTGTGAAGGTTGTTCCACGTGTTCATTTATAAGCCGAATTTAATCTATCTATATTTATGAACTGTGACCTCAGAAGGTCTGATGTCTTGGGATGGTAAGTAAACAACAAGTTTGACATAAAATTAATCCAATGGAAATGGCCAACTATACCCAATTGAGTGAATTTACAAATCTTAAATATTCTTTCTTTAATTTCGAGTTAAAAAAGAATGACTCGCGCATGATGAACGCAGGTTGTAAGGGCATCTCTGCCCAACATATACTCTTGCAAAACAGTCAGTTTAATTTTAAAACTTTTACTACAATGTAGATACTGTAAAACCCTTAATGTTTGCAAGCCCTTAATTTTCGCGAATATCGCGAATTGAAAAATTCACAAACTTAAAGGCACGCGAAAATTTCGGTCTTCAAGAATTTCAATGCAGGTCTCTAAAATTCGCGAACTTTAGTGGCCGCGATATGTCCTCTGTGACCGATTTGCGAAAAACAGGGGCCCCGAAAATAAAAGGTTTTACAGTATACACATTCACAAAGCTCCCATTTATTTTCATATACAGCCGGCATGCGTTTACTTTGAATGTATGGTTTTCGTCCAAGCACGCAACTGCGATATTCATACTTTTTCAAATGTTTATCGCGGCGGGTTACTCCGTTGAGTGCGCTTCTTACCGAGCATCGATGAAATGCGGAGAAGCAACACCCGCGGAGCTTGCTTCCTCGGGTATTGCTTCTCCGCAGTGCACCGATGCTCGGTAAGAAGCGCACTCAACGGGGCTAACCCATCGCAATCAACACTTCGAAAAACGCGAATAGTGAAGTTCTTCTCGAAGCGAATATCAAATAGTGTATTATTCGGAACCACTATTCGAAATTTCGAATATTCACACAACCCTATTTGGAATGTACATGTGTGGAAAGAGGCGTTCTTGGGGTTTTGCCTTCCCCCTTTTCGTTCGTTTTTTTTTTCCTATTTAACCAGGTTTTGGAAAATTAAATTTCAGCTGTGTTTGAGACTTCTGAGCGTGTGTGTCGTTACCTGCAGTCTCGGGGTTTTTGAATCATGTTTAATGTACACCAGCTTGTTTGTGCCCTTACATTTATTTCAGTGAATATGTGCCCAAAATGTGCTCTGAAGGTGCGCACTGCTGGCGTAAAGTACCTAGAGCCTTTACAGTAATGCTGGCTTACCGTGTCACCTGTGGTCCCGGCAGCAAGTGATGGCTGCGAGTTTGCTCGGGCAACATTTGGAGGGCTCTGCGGGGCTTCTTGGACATTTGGTTCTTGTTCAGATGCGCCAACTTCAGCAATATCAGGTTCACATACGAACGAAGGCACTGTGGAGATCAATTTAAGCAATTACAACTCCGTTGTATGATTGATCACTCCAAATCAATCGTCCAATTCATGCGGTTTGCAGCCACCAAGCAGCGATATTGTGCTTGATTTCATTCCGTGCAATGTTTACTCGAAATTATAGATTTACTAATGGAAGCTCGTTTACCAACATGGAAAAGAAAATATACAAATAATCTATTCACAGTGCCCGATACCATAGCTGTCATTTTGAGCACGAGCGCAATGTAGTGCAGAAGCATGTCGAGCACGAGATTACCTTCTTGATTGTACACGCACCATATCTATTGTCCCATTCCATATGTACACACATACACACACACACATATATATATATATATATAAAAAGGGACACACAACACAGGTGGATAAAAATATTTCTGCCGTTTTATACATATATATATTATATAAACCACGGACTTACAGTTAATATATGTACATGTATTATATGTTGTTAATATATATATATTATACATTGTTCCAAATTATCAACATAGACTTGGTTAAAGACAAGAGCAAGCAAGTGCCAAACAAATATTCGCTGCGTGATGTGTTCCATACCAGGTCACTGCTTTATCCACGGGCTCACCTTCACAAGAAACGGACCCCTTGGCACCGAGGGCTGTTGTCTGTTTTCCCGCTGGGATTTCACCTCCACTCGTCACGGCTCTGTCTCCTACATGACCAAGTTACGCAAAAGTTGCATGTAGCCACTAACAGGAAGATAAGTTGAGCAAAAGTAGCTGTTGGGAGTTTGCAACATCTAAAGGGGGTGCGCCACTCCGCCTTGGCACCTGCTTGCTGACAGTGCAACCGACGACGGCGTCCGCGTTACGTCGCACAATGAAGTGCTGCCCGCTCTGACCCCTTTTTGTGTGCCTGCGGCGTCTTGGCCGTGTCAGCGCTTTCCCACGACTGTTTCTCAATCTCGCTCTGGAGCAAAGTCTTGGCAGCTTAACAGACTAAAACCTCCGGGACTGGGAAGAACAAGGGACAATGTGACACAGAAGTCTGAGAGTTCTGTGAACGGTGGGTGGTTGGGTAAACGACTACTGAAACCTGCCGCGGCGGTGCGACCTGATTCTGTCCTCCTGGCGGCTTCTGCTCAGCAGGTATCTTCGCTTTATGATAGATGTCGTGGTGGAGTGCTGAAGGCCATAGACTCGGGTTTGTATAGAACTCAGCGAGAGAAACACCATGTGAGCAATATTCTTTAATTTAAAGTAGAATTTACTAAATCGTGGCAAAATAAAACTAACAGACAACTATTTATCTCCATTTTCCTTAGCTCTGGTGCATTTTTTAAACCGCGTGAGCGGCTGGCAATGTGAAGTCATCTGTGAAACATCTGGCGTGCACTTTGATTTTTGTTTTGCTCCCAAACGCGCTTGGAGCAGACGAATTTGGCGGTAGCAGACGAAATTGGCATTTTTTGCCGTGTTTTGGCACTTGGAGAAGGCCAAGATTCTTCAGGTACGGGCCGCTACGGTAGTATTCCAAACTGTTGGTCAGTTTACAACCCGAAGAAAGAAAAAGAGAGGTTATTTTAATGCAAGCAGTTAAGTTTGGGTGATTCTGTCGTGCTGGGCACAGTGTGACCGCAATGTAGTGCGACAGCGTATTGGCGGCTTCAAATCACGTCGAACTAAAACTTACCTTGCTTGCACGTAAACAGCGGAAACTTATAGACGTATGCAAGCAGCCGTGCTTTCGAGAGCTCTGGCCACCGTGGATGGAAAATGCTTTGTTTGGGCACCAGTCTGGAAACCGTGGGTATGCCTCAGCAATATTTGACTATCAGATGATCTACCCACACACGCAGCAAGAAGGCGCCACTCAGAGGCCGTACTTGCAAACGTCTATAAGCTAGATCGCCGAATACATCTGCAGGCAGAGTGGAATCAACACCGTCAACGCCTTAATGGCACGCCTCAGCGGACTTCTCAGCTCGTTTTCATTTTGTTGCGCTGCACGTCCCCTTGGTTATCTTAACTTGAAATGTATAGGGTGGTCCAAGTCACCAGGTGTATTTCACAGGTCGTTTTTTCTTGAAAAATTAAAAGCGTAGCTCTCTTTCTGTAAAAAAAAAAGGCCAAAAAACCTGCTAAGGTCTACAGCGGGCAGCGACACAGACGACAGGGGTCCAGTAGCGGGGGGTGTACGGCGTTCGTATTGATAGATGGCACTACCTCCTTATCGCGACGGCTGGCGACCACCGCGGTTTATTAAAATGAACATAATCTTTTTGAAATGTACTTTTGGGTCAAAAATAAATGCAAACAATAAATGCAAAACTTAAAGTAAAAAAAAAAAAAAAATGTGTCTGCATAACGACGGCACTTTTGCTGCCAACAGATTTCGTCTGTGTGTCGTCTGCTATCTTTCGCAGGTCGGCTGCACCTTCGGACGCTGCTGCCGACGCCCTCTATCAATATGAACGCCAAACACACCCCGCTATTGGACTTGGTCGTCTGGGTGGTCACTCGCCATAGACCCTGGCAAGTTTTTTGGCCCTATTTTTTACAGAAAGAGAACTACGCTTTGTAATTTTACAAGAAAAAACCGACCTGTGAAATACACCTTTGACGAAAAGTTTAGATTGCTACGTACAGGTGTCATTTTTGCGGTCCATTGAAGATCGAGCCTGGTGACTTGGACCACCCTATAGAACTTTGGGCAAAACAGAGCGTATATATTAATTATATTATTAGTCCGCTAAATTAAACTGGTGCAGTTCATGCACATTTCACGAAATAAATTGCCAGCGAGTCGTTTTTCCTGCAAAATGAATTAGGATACTTGGATTTTTCATTTCTTCTTTGCGTGGCGCCATCTATGTGGAGTGCCATAAACCTTCCTGAAGCGGGGACACAATCAGGTCGCCCAATCAGCTTTCGTTTCTCCACCTGCCAATCTTACACCCTGCTTCTGTGTTGTTCTCTCTATCTCTAGTCTCAGGGTTTTAATCTGTTATGTTCAACCATCACCAGCTCATTTGTGCCCTAACTTTTGTTCTTGGCACCTTGGCATTCAGATACGTATCCATGTACAGTATTGCTCCGCAGGTGTTCTTACACCATTTGAGCTGCAGGAGTTACTTGAAGCTTGGGTTCAGTTGTGTCTTCTGCAGTTGTAAGTGGCAACACACCTTGGAACGTGCTCCTGCAAAGCGCTCGCGTGTTTGACAGTCTGGAAATCACTACGGGACATTCACAAGCGCCAGATATTGATAAAATCCACATCAGAAGTATTTTTTGCTCCTCTTATTATCAAACTGCTATTTTCTCCCTACAGGATGGAGTAGACTTACTGGGGTAGTCAGCACACAGGAGATCTATGCTTTTAAATTCCAAATCTTGTAAAAAAAAAAGGTTAGCGCCAATTGTGGTTTTGTACGTTTTGTGCTCAGGCAAACTGACATTGATCAGATACTAAGGTCGGCGGTTCTGCTAAGGGACACACGTTTTGTTAAGTGCCACACGCCACCGCTGTCAAGAAGGGCGGGTAGAAGCGTAGGGCTTCTCTTTTGAATGCCCTGCAGCGCGCTGGTTTCCTTCCGCCGTGCTTTGGCTGCGCTAGCACGCTCGAAGCTCACGACACACCCAAGTGTTATCGAAGGCACGAAGTTCGCGCTGGAGAGCCGAGAGGCGGAACGGTTGAAAGAATTCACTGCTGTTCTCATCCTGTGATTACAGTAGCAAAAACATACCGAAAGCCAATGTTGACGAACGCTTACCTGCGTCTTTATGCGCTGCTGGCGGGTGCCAACAGTGGATGCAGGCGCCTATTGGGATGAGCAGCGATAACTGTACCATGGCAACGGTTCTTTGGTATCCTGTGCATCGGCATTCTAAGCAAGACCCTTTCAGGACGCCACTAAGATCAGCGTTGCAGACCGCCATACCGCATGTTTCTCAGCCTTCCTTCTGTAACGCCATCAGTGGATAAATGAATGCGTATCCTGCGTATTGGCTCTGATGCGTACGACTGAATCCGTAAAAAGGGCGGTGGCTTGCGCTATCTAGCCATGTTTTTACGATAGGGGAATTAACTGTCTCAACAGCAAAAGAAAACTCTGAAACGCGGGATATCGTGCAGTTTGCTGTGCCCTGAGAAGCGAACAGCAGAAATGACTTTATTATACTTTACTACGGTACCAAATGCACTCGCAAGTGCTCGCAAGAGCACTTGCGAGCACCCTGTTCTGAAAGAATTTTGGTCCACCTGAACTTATTTTAGAAATGCGTTTCTTCTCAACCGAGCACGCGCAAAAAAATTCCCTCAAAACGTTCGAGTGCGGTATTTGACTAGCAAAGCGATCAAAGCATACGAATTCAAATCAAAACCCATCGCGCGATGACCGATTTCATCGCGTTTGTTTCAGGTTTTAGAACTCAAGACAATCCAATCCAGGAAATTCGCGCTGGCTTTCGGAAATCAAAGTCCGCAACTCTCCTAGAGGCGGAGAAAAGGACGATGTCACGGCGAAAGAGAACTCAAGGTAACCAACCTATGGTATCACAACCTTGTTTTTGCGAGTGATGAGGTCGATATTAGTATGCGCTTGTTGGGCTGCGTACGGAGGGAGTCCTCGCGCTGCAGGAAACTGATGAGTAGAGGTCTCCGTGAACAGATTTTCGAAAACCTGCCTTGAAATTTTATTTTATTTAACTCTTTACAGTGCCGTACCCGGCGTCGTTTGGGCCAATCTAGACCCTTTACGACCATTTACACCTTACGTCAGACTGCGGCAAACACTACGAGCCATCCCAGCCAATCAACCTCGGTGAACGTAGCACGTGATACGCTCTCCGCGCGTCACTGGGCCCCCTCTTCGAGGGCACGTGACACTCATACGGCCTTGGATTGGTTCTGATGGCTCATAGCATCTGTTGCGGCCGGACATAAGGTGAAACTGAGTATAAACCCAATTTCAATGCTTCTAAATCCATTAACCTTGCCTCTTGCCATAAGGGGGTCGCAAAAGGAGCAGTTAATTTGCCACCTGAAAAAAGCTTTCAGCTCCCCCCAAAAACACTTAGCCTACCACCATGGAGGTAAGAAGAAGAGGCGACATACTACCTCAAGCCAGCCAAACGAGAAAATCCCAAGTGAAGCCGGAAGTAGAGGACGCAGTTGGTGGAAATACCCGCAAGAGTTACCAAAAAAGCTGTTAGCACCAAATCAGCTGTCCTTCCCGACCAATAGCGTCTTGGTTTTGGTCATCGTTGGGGGCATGTCCCTCCAAACCAAAAGTCTCCCCCGGCTTCAATTGTGGTGGCGTCATGTCGCCTCCAGAAGCTTCCTACCTCCAAGCTATACACCAGCTCATGTTTACAAACAAACCAGAGTGCCCCTAGTGGCACACCACCGTCGCCGTGCATGTGCTTTGGGGTGTGGGCAAGAAGCACCACGTCCCACATCAACGAACCCTTGGAACGTTATGTTGTCGGAGTCATTGTGAGTCCCCATGCTCTTTTTTACGCTGGAATTGTTGATTCTACGCCTTAGCAACGTCTTGCTACTTTAGCGGCCTGAGCGAAATTAGCAAGGCTCGTTCCCCCTCAAACCTTTGTGTAAATAATGTGATGTGTGACGATTCATTCCGCGTGAATGCTGCAGAACAGCATTCACGCCTGATGTAAATCAGGCTAGAGCCTGATTTACATGATGAGACTCTGCTCACTATTTTAAGTCGCAATGTTACTCGGACTACAAAAGTGTGTACGGCAGCTTCACTGCTCAACGTCGAAACTGAAAAACGCACGCAGAATCGAAGCAACTGAATCAGGGATAACAAGTCGGTGATGGCCCCTGGTAGCAATTAACATCTTCTTGTATCTGCTGGTTACACCGAGCCTACTTGCCCTAAACAGCCTTCAAACTTGAAAGTTTTTTGAGGCCTGTAGTTCTTGTCGCAACATTTGGCCTACTGACCGCTGTCGTCTCAACGAGCAGGCGACAGTTTAAGACGATCTTGAAAGAGCAGATGACAGTTTGAACGATCAGACAGTTGTTTGGACATGAAGATGCACTGTATGTAGTCCGGACAACTTGCCAGTTTTCCCATGTTCACGTTTGAACAAACAAATAGATTCTACCATTATGTTAAAACACCTCAGACTGAGTGTGAAAAGACCTTGAAACAACCAAAAGTAAAAGAGACAGGGAAAGATGTCAGCTAGATGGACGTCTGAATTTGAGACGTTTTCTTAAACTCAAATTAAACTCAGAATTTCGGAGAATTGGTAATCAAACAAATATAAACCCCAATTAACTTAGAATCTGCGGCAAAAAATAAACTCTGAAAAACGCCCTTTGATTTTGACGAAAAATGAACTCCGAAAACATAGAGCCCTAGTGATAACCCATTGGTTCCGATATGTTCATGCCCCATTCGCCATCACCGGAGTTTTGTGTCCGGGCTGCGGGAGTTAAATCGAGAGTTGTCATAATACTTTTGGAGAAACTTTTTACATGGTTTATGCCAACATTAGCTTGAAAATCTACAAATATAATATGTCATAAAAATGTTGCGGGAATGTGTTAGTTGGAACGCATGAGTATACAACCTCCTTGTTCAATTTTGGCCGTTTCATAGTTCTGTAGATTGCAAGAAATATTTTTCACTCTGTGACAATAAAAAATAAAGGATATGTCAGGTGCGAAATATTTGCTTCTACCAGGAGAAAATCCTGCTGATGCCCATGGCTCCTTCTCTAGAAACATCTTTGCAAAGTCTTTGCACACTGAAAACAATATTGGGTCTGCTTTGTAAGTGTAAATACAAAGCCCATACCCGTTCAGACCTCTGCTGAGGGGAGGGGGTTCTCGCTGTTGGGAAAAACAGCCCCCCCACTCCCCTACCTTACCCTTGACTTCTAGCCTGATATTCATCATTATGGTTTTCAAAATGTACACCTCCATTCCCTCAAACAATCTGACGGAAAGTTGTGGGCAGAACTTTGTTTGATAAAACTATTGTCCGATTAAACGAATGCCACCTTTTTCAGTTGGATCGACTGGTGGACCAACCAAAAAACCTCGCCCAGCAGAATCGGAAATTAGTCACTGGCTAATTAAGTCCGAGCCAGAGAGCCGCATCGAAGACGGCGTCGAGATGAGGGTTAGTGTGCCGCATTCCCGTATAGGCTGAAAGCATAGCATGTTTTTCTCAGTGCCCTGATTAAATGGTGTCATCGCCTATCTCTGGACTTGCAGTTCAGCATCGATGACTTGATTGCGTGTCCCGAAAGCACATCTTGCTGGGATGGGGTCAGAAACTACCAGGTATTTGAGATTTCTTCGTGGCAGTATGCCAGGGATGAGTTGTCTTTATGACTGTCATTCTTATGTCTGATTCACATGGTCTGATTTTACTTGTGATTTCACTTTTGCAATGTCACTCTTGTGCAACAAAAAAGGCAGCTGCGATGCCATATTAAAATATTTGAAGCTGCTGAACTGCCAAGCCTTATTTGTGACACCGCTCTTGCGGTGGGGATGGGTAACCAATAAAAATGCGACTCATCCAATAATGTCACGGTGACCATAGCAACATGAACACGCAGAGAAAGAGCCACTGGTGACTTGGTGGAGTGGATTAAGTGCCGGTGGCCAAACCTTTTTGTGTCTGAATATGACGCTTTTGTACACTGGATCTAGCAGTACTGCAACAGTGCAGTGTTGCTTGTAAACTATAAATAAGTATAAAGATGAAAGAACCTCATACTTATGTTTGTTGCAATCATTTTAATTTGCATAGTTTTGCAAAGTTAAAGAAAATAAGCTTGGCTTAAGCAGAATTGAGCCGTCAAACGATCTGCTCAGCGTTTGTGAAAAACCCCTATATCTTTTGACAATGCAAACGGGAACGCGAAAGTTTGCATGTGCGGTTGATCGCTGGTTGATTGCTGCACCAAATTTACAATAGAAAAATGCATCGTGTGAATCAGGCTTTAGGGCAGCTAAACTTAGCAGAGTTGCATTCACAGGCTGCTAATTCTCTCCTTCTGAAACTAGGCACGGAACTTCATGCGTGACGGAATGAAGAAAGGTCACCAGTGCTTCTTCTACCACAGCAACTGCAAGGTTCCAGGCATTGTTGGGATAGTGGAGGTAAATGGATGACCTTACTTATTGAATAGAATTGAACTATGTAGCGCATTTCTTTTTTTCTTGCAGGTTGTCCGTGAGTCCTATCCAGATCACACACAGTTCGACAAAAAGAGTGGCCATTATGACAAGTAAGCCCTCATTGAATATGCAAGGGATAGCCGAGAATTATTTGCATGCAGCAGTACCCACTGGCGTAGCCAGAAATTTTTTTGAGGAGGGGAGTGCGTTGCTTATGACTTAGGAAGAGTGGAAGGGAGGGCAACATGCATATTTATATTTTAGGGTCGACCATATTTCAGGAAGGGGCTTCAGCCCCGTAAGCCCCCTCCCCTGTATACGCCACTGCCAGTAGCAGACGGTGGTTTGCTGTTTTTTTTAGTGGGCACACACGATGGCATCTGCAGCCACTACTGTAGTAGCAGCCGCAGGCATCATCAAGGTTAAGTGTGATTATGCTGGCTAAGTAATCCAAACCTCATCGGTACATCAATAAAAGGGTGAAATGAAGGAAGTTATTTGACCACATACAACAGCTTGTTTTAGGACCCAGGGAAATTCTGATTGAAGGAAATATTTAAAATAAAAAGCGTGTAGAAGAGTTCAGTTGGTACCATTTTATAATTCCCGTTAACGGTAATGCTTCGTGTATCGCCCACACTAAAACCCTGTGTGCAATTTCTGTATATTGTGCAGAGAGCCATTCTATATGGAAAGGGCATAATAGAACTTGCAATGGAACGAAACCTCAAAACTGTTACGTGCACATTTTAGACAAGCAATTAGCGTCGCGATAATTGAACTTGCGCAGTGCACTCCTCACCTTTCCCAGGTATAATCCTAGTATGATCTTCGTCATTTGCTCACATTCTTTACTAGTTCAGATTAATTGTCTGCCTGCACGTTCTGCAGGAAAAATGATGCACAGGCTTTTTTTTTTTATAGCGGATAACACAAAGATTGCTTGGCAGAGTGTGTATGCTTTCCATTAAACTTAAGGCTCGTGGGCCATTGGCTACCTCGACCTTTTCTGCGTCATAACTTGGGCACTCCAACTTGCATAGTCTTTTCTCTACGTTTTGTGTACTCAAAGATGTTTTAAAAAATTAACATGGTTTCTAATGTTTGATTTTTACATTTTTGCAAGGTCGGGACTTTAGGTTCCCGACACCTCAAACGCAGCCCGAGAGAGCTTATAATAAATCCGCCCGCACCAAAACGATTCTCTCGCATACTGGCCCAAACCTAGCCCTGCTGTTCGCTCGAACTCTCGGGTTTTCCCGTGCACGATCCAACTAAGTCAACAAAGCTGCTAGGTCTCTCAGCAAAACGTTTGCTTTCACGACGTTTCTTCTCGTTTCTTCTCGTGCCCTTTGAAGCAGCCGTTGCGACCTTCATGCTTTGTCTGCGGAATCATTCGGAACTGTTGGGCAATCGGTCTGGCTCTTATAGGCAGGTTGTACCATACGTCTAGCTTCGTGCAACTTATTTTGTTTCATATCATACTGCTGTTCTGCACACTTGCACTTCTTTCTGTATGTGTGCAGACCCTTCTTACTTCCATGTCTGAAGTTCATGTCGCAGCATTGGGCTGGTTGTAATCGTCTAACTATTAGCGCAAAGTGCCTAAAATGTTTTATGATGCATGGAGTGCTCCATAGCAGAAGCTCCTACCACTAAAAAATTATCTGTGCATGTTGGCATAACTGTCCCATGTCTTGACGTTGGATGACAGGACTATTTGACTTGACGAAGGCTTATTGTAGAGAAGGTGCCGTGTAACCGAGCTTTTCGTTGCACGTCAAAAGATCCCCAGTTGGTTGAAATTAATCCTCAATCCTCCGCTGGGGCGTGCCAGATGCCCGTTGTTGGTTTGGCACGTAAAACCCCAAATTTGAGCTAGGACCATTTGACTGCATGTCGCTATGTTGGGCCACGAGATATCATGTGACTTCCCGCAGACTAATAAACTATCTATGTTCTTCAATCCCCAAACCAACTGTCTAATGTCTTCTAAACGGATTTCAATAATTGCTTCCTAAATGTACTGCATTCCACACGTTATAGGACCTAAGAGACAAAGATAGTTGCATATTTGTTTAAACTATGGTGTTTGTGTTTTTGTGTCAGGACGAGCACTCGTGAGAATCCCCGCTGGTGCATGGTGGATGTGAAGTTTGTGCGCAAGCTCACCCGCCCTGTCACTTTACCCGAGCTCAAGAAACTGCACGAGCAGCACGCGACGAGCAGCGAAAAGGGGCCTCTCGCAAACATGGCTCTCCTCACCAGGTCTCGTCTGTCTGTGCAGCCAGTCACAGAAGGTAGGTACTACCGCCTTTCAAAGTGCTTCTTGGTGGAGGCTATGAAAGGCTAGCTGGCTACGACAAACTGGATGGTCACTCTCCGGGAGCCCTTATAGAACCAGTGAAGTAAGCCCTTTCAGGAAGGAGCTTCACTATACTATTTGTAGCATTTTCACTACATCAGTCCTTCATATGCCCTATACTACAAACATGTGTACTTCAGCTTTGCTTCACTATCTATGCTCATATTTTCTCTATCTCAGTTACACAGAGGTGCTACTACAGTATATGTTGCTGGGATGTTGTGGTGATGTGGCTAGTGCTGCAAGCAGCTACTAAGGTGCAGCAGTGTTACATATTTTTTTCCTGCTTTTGATCTTTTGAGAGACATTTCGCTCATGTACACACTTTGTTTTTGAACATCCTCCACTGGAATGGTGAACGGAGGCAATCAGTGTAATGTGTATTAAAATTTAATGTGGTCCTGATCAAACCATGTAGTATTGTACCCTGGCAAACTTGCCACCAGTGCATGTAATGCCTGCTTCCTGAAGTGCTGTATCCTTAAATACTCTCCCCTTGTTACTTTCGCTACCGTAAAATACCAAACCTCTGCCCATTCCACAATAAGCGCCCAACCCCTAATTTTGTCACATTCAGAAAATACACAAAAGACATATCTTTTCATGTTGTTATCTAAGAAGCACCCACCAAACAGTTATACATTATTATTTCCAAATTTTGAGTGGGCGCCTGCTCGGGATTTTACGGTACTCATCAGAGTTGATAGGGACAAGGATGTATAATCTTTTTTTTTTCTTTTAATTGTAACTTCAATGTTAAAAAAAACTTGGTCTCTGAAACAACTGCAGGAATCACTAAGCAAATCCCAGAGTATAGATTCCACTGCCACACAATAGGATGAAATGTTGTGTCATTGAAACAATCTTAAAATTTGTTAGATAGAAAAATAAATATCTAGTCTTTTGTTAATTTTACAGAAGAATGGAACTTCATCCTTAGCCTTGAAGGAGCCAACGGTCCCTCGTGAACAATGTCAAGAACAGTGGATCTGGATTTAGACTTGAATTCAGATTGTTTTTAGACAGAATAAAGCCCGAATCCACAAAGAAGCATCGACAGCAACTTGGAAGTTCGAGCATTGAGTGAATTACTATTGGTAACATTTGCGAGATTGATTGTGTCTACTGGCACTAGTATGCACAGACGACCAGATGTTTACAGAATCTGGCTGTCAAAACACAAGCCATGAAAGCAGATCTGAAAACAAGTGCTGAAAAATTCAAAATTCCCTATATGGGTGGAAAACGATGCGACTTTCTGGGTTGCTTCATTGGAAATGACACCATAGCTCAAGACCTTAATGGTGTCTTGTTTATAAATGGCAAAATAGGATGTGCATCTTCATGTTTGACAACATGAGAGTTCCATTTCTTTACCTTCTGTGTTAGCGGGCATGGGATCCGTGTATCACTAGCAGTGGTTGCCCAACTTCCCTTCAATTAATGAGGTGTCTTCCAGAAGCTGTACCTTTGAAAACCTCAATGGCTAGTCGCATCAAAATCAGTGGTTCGGTCTTTTCCATAGTTAAAAACATTTCCCGATTTTTTAAAAATGATGATTTCCTAAATTCATGTTTTTGTAGATTCTTGAGACTGTGCTATTGCTGGAGAGAAGGGTTTGAGGCATAATTTGGCTAGAATGAAGAGGGGATGTGTGATATCTATTGCTAACTATACCTCATCTCACATCAGCATGGACTAACCACAAAGGCTGCAGATGCGAACGTTTTGTGTCTGACTGCACCTTGACTGCACGAGTGCTTGTGCAATTGGAGCACCAGTCAAAGCTACATGTTTGTGCATCTAGCCTTTGTGGTTACTCCATGTTAAAGTAAGAAGCATCTACCCACTTATTTGGATGTTTATATGGAGATAGCATGTCAATAAAAGACAACAAACACATACACAAAAAGTTTTTCTTTTGCTTACCTGCAATCTCAAGGTTGTGTCATCTAATCTTCACTAGCCTGTTTGCACCCCCTCTTTCTGTTCATGTCAGTAAGTTTTTCATGAACAGGCGAATGTTGCCATGCTACAAAAAACAACCAAAAAAATCCTTTTTTATTTGTGTGTGCTACATTTGCTTTTCAGGATATGCATTAGTGGGAGGTATCTTGTCCTGTATACTCCAAGTGCTCATTTGCTATGATAATGCAAGGGTGCAAGCAAGCTGGACAAGAATAACGATTTGTAATCCCTGGAGAAGGGGAACAAGGGTCATAACCTTAAAAAATGCAGGCCGTTCACTGTTTTTTTTGTGTTAGACTGGTCAAAAAGTCAAAGTCAAATTGGACGTTTGAGTGATTTATACAGCGTAAGGTTGGTCTGCCAGTAGGGGCAACACTGGTTTACACTGTAGTTGAGCAATTTAGCCAGTGCAGTGCAACCGCTAGCCTGGGGTCTTTAACGTGCACCACGCAGTAGTGATCCACGACCACACGCCGGTGCGATGCTCATCCAGATCGAAACGGGCAGGGGTGGGGCTCGAACCCAGGATCCCTGGGTTCTGCAGAGCGAGCTTTCGCTCCACGCGCGTCGAGCTGGGTGTGCGCCTCAGCTTACTCGGCCACCGATCCCCCGTTTGCTCTACTGACGTCTAACTCCTGGTTAGCTCAGTCGGTAGAGTGTTCCACTGGAAATGGAGAGGTCCCTGGTTCGATACCAGAACCCGGCGGATTTTTTCAGTCGCACACCAGTCACTTAGCTGTGTTTGGAGATTTGTGTTTGTCCTTTGTCCCCCTTGTTCTTTTTCTCCAGGGATTATTATCCTCATGCTCCATTACTACTTCCAATAGCTGAAATGCCCAAACCCGCATGACTACTCCAATTGTTCAATGGGATTCATTTATGCAACACATTGCTTTGGTAGCAGTCAAATTTCAGGCTCAAATAGGTATTACCTTAACTTTCTCTGTTCCATCATTAATGGAACCCTTTCCTAGTATAGAATTGTTGCCACTTAAATTTTTTGTTTCGTCTACAGCAGTGGTTCTCAGCCATTGATGTTTCGCGGACCCCTTGTAAATTGGCGGAGATGAGGGAGGACCCCGTTCGTGGTGTGGGGAAGGGAAATTATAAGTTAATTATGATAGTGATTTAATGAATGGATATAACTAAGGGCTAGTGTGAAGTAAACTTCTCTTATTGACATATACACGAGAAAGCGCACCCGAAAATTGGAACGTTTCTTCCCAATCTGAGAAGAGACAACTTTTATTTCCGGGCTTGACTGATGAGGCTGGGCTTCGTGGACCCCTAGAATGCCTTTGCGGACCCCCAAGGGCCTTCGGACCCCCATTTGAGAACCACTGGTCTACAGGATACAAAAACTGAACTCACCACTTCAAACTTTTTTTATTTACAAGCAAAGCTGACATCCTGAAGCGGCTCACAAGGTCCATAAATAGCAGCACAAACATTCAGATCTTGTATGTCATAAATAAAAGTAATAGGCAGTCTTATTTACACCACACTGTCCACTTATTAAGGAAGGGAAAGCACAACTCGTTTAATTCATTCAGTTCCTTTCGTGTAGCGAACACGAACTTGAAGCATTGTTCTCATTACAAAACTTAATTCAGGGAGTTAGATAAAGAGATATTAACGGGCTTCTTTTTTAGTGCGTGTGCCGTCTATCTCTACCTACGGAAGGGATGGGATATCACAAAAACGCAGCGGGCTCACGAGATTCCCACATTTCTCCACATTTGCTTGATAACTGCGCAACAAAAACAGGTTCCTTTCTCGATGCATACGCTCCCTGCGATCGGTATAAATAAATTGCACATCTAGCTCTAGCTTGCTTATTTACACGGTTGCAAAACTGCAGCTGCATTGTCTCTGGTTCACACGTCAAGTTGTGTCTGTCGGAACCGCCGGCGCCGCTCGCAGGAAGTGGTCTCAGTAGTACTGCGGATGCCTCCTGTAATCCCGTAGCCGCAAGTAGAGGCAGCAGGAAAAGATCATCCCAAAGACCTAGAAGAGAAATCGTAAAACGGTTCAGTAGCCCACCAGAATCTAACAGGCTATGTTTAGTGTCTTTACCTATGGAAATTCTGGTGAACAAATGAGCACAGACGCATTAACACCATGTTTCATGTTTAATGCATGTGCCTTCTCCACTGTCTCAATGCCACTGTACTAGGCACTGTTTGACAAGTTGTCTTTGCTGCCTGCTGTGGTGACCAGATTATTTTAGTTGGGGTCAGACACTTTCCAGTCAAAGTCATTATGTGCTATTGGTAGTGATTGTGATATAATAAGCATTTGCAGTTACAACCTGTTTATCCAGATTCTGGTATGCTGAATATAGTTATTATCCATACAGTTTTGACTTGAAATGAACATGTTCGATTATCTGCTAATCTGACCCATGGTCACTAAATGATTTCTTCTCAAGACAATTTGGACATGCAGCGAACGCATTGGAATGAGTGGGACTGGCCTCCAAAGCCACCAATACAAACACTGTTCCTCCATCACCTAATAGAATTTTCTGTTACAGAATGTAAACAGATTTCGCATTGCAAATTTTGTCTTCAAAAGTTAGGTGAAACTGACATATTTAGGGCCAGAAATTTCGTCCTTTTCGTATAAATTTGACTGGCAAAAACACAGCTTTCAAGGGGTGGTAGAACGATAGTGGAGCATATGTTTAATGATGATTTGTTCCAATCTTTGTTTCCAAGTGCTTGAGAAACATGTCCAGTTTCGCTGCCCTCGAATTTTTAAAATTAATTTGGGAATCCACGTCTAATAGTCGTGGGGGAACCGGCCTTTAAAGTTCTGCACCAAACAACAAACATGACAATCTTACGGTGCTCGCTACGCCATCATTTGGCATTGGCAGCAAGTTAACATATAATGGAGTTGGAATAAGCATAAGACATTTAACAAAATAAATATGTATGGGAGTTCTCTTTTAACTTCACATCAGTGGCATGCTTTTTTATTGGGTTACTCTCGCTTCTGAGGTATGTCATCTGTGCTCTCAGTATAAAGTGAGGTGAAATAAGAACCCTTAAGAAATCGACTTTTCAAGAAAGAAACATTTTAGTTCATTGCTCTTTACTAATACTACACTCATTCTAGAAAGCAGCAAAAAAATACTTTCTTATCATTTAATAATAACTGTCAGTCTAGCTGGCTAAAAGAAAGATGAGCCTCCTCACGGAGACTTGTGTTCTGTTACGGTACTTGGTATTGTGGTAGTTGGGACTAAGATTGCTTTCAGAGCCGATTGAACAATGTATGCATCTTAAAAATTAAGCCTTTGCTGTTCTTATGTTGGTATACGAAACAAACCCGTCCATTTTGCTACTAGGCAAAAGTACAATTCGCTGTCTGTCCCTCTAAGGTCCAAGAAAAGTATTGGAAGGACGACAGGCTGACAGCTGAAACACGGCTGAATGGTGCTGGGCGTTTGTTAGTATAGTTCTTACCTGCACGAGGCAGATGCCAAGACCGACTGCTCCCACGATGATAAGGTGCTCGCGGATTTGTTCGTCCAATGCATTGATGCAGCCCTGAAAGATGGTGGACATCAAGCTGGGTGGTTTCCCTAATGACAGAGTCTGAGATTCTGGCAATGTGAAACTAGCAGGAGTTATACGAGAAGCAATTTGACAGAGAGTGGCTGAAGACCCAACTTTCTTTTAATATGCAAAGTGATCGAATTGAGATCAAACAAAATGCTAAAAAGGGTCAATAGGTCTCTATTGGACTCCCCGAGTTGTATATTCAACAGCACCAAGAAAAGTGGCTCTGTATCTCTTATTTATTCATGCAGCTCTCGAAAATGCGCAGATGCTATATTTGGTGACAGGCCAAAAGTTCAGTTTAGCGAAGTGAATGCCAAAGAGGATGTGACCTCCGCTCCAGCATTCGCTCTGCTAAAGTAGAAAAAGGTGGGAAGAGCTTCCCCTGAACTCTTAACTTGTCACTGACTATAGTCGGAGGTGGGTCAACCAAATCTTGAGCAATTAGTTCAAGATGAAATAAATAGTAATTGTGTTGTGTGTATGTTTATACAGCCGGAATTTAGTCAGCCTCAATGGGCGTCTTGTGTCTCAGCTGTAGATGAGCAATTTAGCCAGTGCAGTACAACCACTAGCCTGGGTTCTTTAACGTGCATCACGCAGTAGTTATGCACGACTGCACGCCGGTACAGTGGTCATCCAGGTTGAAGTGGGCAGGGGTGGGGGTTGAACCCAAATGCCTGGGTTCTGCAGTGCTCAGAGCGGCAGTGCGCTAACACACACGGCCACCGATCCCCCAAGTTCAAATGCTTTACGCCTTACTGATTTGTTCATAATAAATAAATGTTTAAAAGAACAACTGCATGCACATTAAGGGGAGACACTGGCGTAATTATTAACTTTTGAACTCCTCGTCCGATTTTAACGAAATTTGGAGAGTGCATTTATGAGCAGATGCAGGGACACTGTGCAAACTTTGACTTCTATAGGAGAATTATGTAAAAAGTTACATATTTGTGTATGAGGCTGTGGCACCTTTCCTTAGGAAATCTATCGTATGAAAATGAAATGTTAAACCACTGTTTTTATTGCTTGGATATGAAGTAGAGGGTATGTGGCTTTGGGCTATCTAATTTGTATGATTAAAATGTAAATATTTCGGAGAGAAATTCTGTCTCCAAAAATGATATGCACTTTCTTTGAATGCCATTTTGCCAAAATGTCACTTTTTCTCAGTGATGACTTCAACTTAAAACAAAATGAAGTAGATAGCCCAATTCCCCAGTAAATTTCAGTTCAGAAACACTTTGAACGAGGCACCTGGATATGTTTACCATCAAACGATAGATTCCTTGCTACAAAGTTTGCAGCAAAAAAGTGAAACTGAGAAAAACGCATTCAAACATTGAGCACCTTTACTTTATTAGTTTGGCCCAGTCTGTGTCCACTAAAAGGCGCCGGCAGAGTAGGTCTCCCCTTCGGCTGCCTGGTCCCTCTGTGCCTTGGCGATTGCTGCCAGCTTCCTTTGCTTATGGGCCACTTTCGAAGAGTTGAGGGCCTTCTGCTTCGCCTTGGAGACCTTGGCTTGGAGGGCCTTGTCAGCGTGCTGAACCTAACGGCTTCCGGGTTCGATTCCCATTTCATGAAGGGCCCTCTCAAAGCCCTTGGGGCCCAGGTTGAATTCCAGGACGGCAAGAGCCACGGCAGTTTCCACAGTTCTTCGAGAGGCGAAATCCGTCTTGGGACACCGCCTCCACACCAGAGCATTGAACGACTCGTTGTTGTTCTGCGTTCCCATCCTAGCACACCTCTCGAGTAGGTCCCGCCTTGAGAGTCTATTGTAGAGGGGCACCAACTCCTTTGCGATGTCTCTGGAGAAGGCAGGGCGGTGTGGCTTCGTCGGCTCTCCTGCTGCCTCCAGCGCTTTCTGGCGATTGAAGTGACACCAGGAATGTTCTCCATGAGGGCAGGCCTGATGCCGGGGCTCTTCATCGGTGGAGTAGCTGTGGAGGAGGCTGGCAAACACTGCCTTCTGCATGGCTGGAACGTCTGGGGCACTGGTCTTCAGTGCAGATGCATAGTAGCTGGTCAATTTCTTCATGACAAGGTTCGTTAGTTTGCCCCTTCCACCGAGACCTTTTTTTGTTTTCTTTAGGGCCTCCATGCCAGCATACATTCTTTTGGCGACGTGGTTCACACAGTCTTCTTTCCTCATGCCCTTGTCGTAAAGATCAAGTCCCGCAACATGGTTGAAGGCTTTACTGTCCCCGTCGCACAGCACTGTCACATACTGCAGGTTGTGGAGTTGGACGGACCGACGGAAGATCTCGTCTGCTGCTTGCAGCTCCATCGCATTTGCAGACCCAGCAAAATTCTTCTGGCATACTGCCCTGTGATTTTCGGCCCAGTCTTCATGGCTGTCAGATCCCTGCGCAGGTCCAAGGCTACATCCATGGCAATAATTGCTCTGGACAGAATAGTCCAAAACTAGTCCAGTCTCAAGCTCGATGGCAACTCCAACACCAAAGTGTGAAGTGTGCCCACGCTTATGCCAAGTGCCATCGTATGTCACACAAACGTCCATCAAATCGCCGCTATCTGACTCGCGTGTTTCTCGTACAGCTTCTGCTGCCTTGCTCATTACGTTGCTGGCTGCTCTCACTGAGGCGTCGTGGACCTTTTCTCCCAGATCTTGATAAGATCGGAGATGCATGGGCGAAGGAGCATTGATACCGGCAAAAAAGTTCGTAAGCTTCGTGTATCCGATTCCACATTCACGAGACGCAAGAGAAATCCGTGCCGCCAATTCATTCTGCCGCGAGTGTCCGATGGTCGACGAGTGCGGCGTCCGAGCAACGTCCCCGCAGTCTGGGCAGACGACGACGAATTGCGCCTGAACTCCCTTGCCACTCTCGCTTAGCTGAAGGTCTGATCCACGGCACACCGGGCACAGAAGAGCGGACACCAGTGTCTCGATGGCAGATAAAGCAACCAGACGATAACCTTCGGTTGGGGCACCGTCGGGAGCAGCGGGAGCGTCCGTGGGATCCGCAGCGGGATCGCTCTCTTGCAGTAGCGAGATCTTGCGCTCTATCGCCGTGAGCTCCTCCACAACCTCATAATCTTCAGGAAGAGCCGAAGAAACGTCGGCTGGTTGTTCAGAGGTCAGGTCCTGAAGCGACGAACCGGGAGATGGTGACGCGCTCGGGAGCGAAGCAGCTGACGCGTCCGACGTGGTTCCGTTAGGGTTAGCGCATCGTACGCGTCCACCTGACGAGCCTCTTGGTTTCACAGAACGGCGGCGAGCTCCAAAGGCTTGGAGGGAATGCCGTTTAACGGCCGGCATCGCGGCGACGAGACCGTAGATAAAACGATAAAACTGTGAGAAATATATAACGAGCAAGCAAAAGAAGCGAACGTTCGGCCGAAGCAACGAGACGAAACAACAATTCGGGCGAGCGGATCACGTGGGGTGTCACGGACCAATCCAGGCTTGAGTTTCGTTTTTAAGCCAATTATAGCCAACAACTAGAGGGCTCTGGCTTTGTTCATGCTTACTCTCGAACGAAGTTTACTATCGTCATAAAAGCCCGAAGAAACGACGCTTCCAACGAGGGTATCAACATCGCGGTAGGCCGAATGGGCGCGGAGCGGTCGGCATTTGAAAATGGCGAATATTGTCAACCGATCGCGCGACGGAACGACTCGGGGATAGGAGGCGCGTCGCCGACCTGTCGAAAATCTTTTATATCTGCTTAAATACTCGACTTACGGGCGTGAAATTTTATGGAAGGGTGCATTATTAGTTTCTGAAATCAGATATAACAAATTTGAAAAATGCACTTTTTAAAAAAAAATCGGGAATTGGAGCCCGTGTCCCCCCTTAAGGGAAATATGCAAGCAGTAGCCAAAGAAACAACTATAATAGTGTAATATGCTGATGCTACTGCTGCTGCTTTGTTGTGTTCCACTCCCAGCTTGTCTGTTGGGCAACTCTCACCAATGTTTTGATCATCGCTTGCATGTTTCATTTAACATTTACTTGCGTGGTATATTAGAATGTCCTCTACGTTTCTGAAAGAGCGAACAACCCTTTCAAAATACAACCAGGCGCTTTTATTGGGCTTTTTCTTTTTCTTACAACCTCCGAATACAGTATGCTTGATAGAAATGCGTGCTAGTTGTGTGTTTTTCAAAGACTTTTTCTTACAATAATACCTTCAATGTGGCACAGGTACCCCTAACCAACAAAATAAATAAAATTTGTGTGCTCACGTCATAGTACACGTTGGAGGGATGGACGAGGCCTCCACAACCGGATGTGGTGGTCTTGCAGCAGGAGTCTGGAACCTTGTTTGGTGTGCGGGGTTTGAGTCGAAGCCATTCGCTGCGCTGCCAGTCCTGGTAGCTGTTTGCTCCGCAGCATTTGAACTGCATGGGGATTGAAATCCGCGTGAGTTGTCTGTACAGAGTAGGGATGCCGCAAACTTTTTCCAACCGAAGTTTCGATGATCGAATCAAGCGGTTCAAAAGATTTTGAGTTTTCGAACTTTCCATATCGAGAAATTCGACAGAAGTCGAATTTTGAAACTTATTAAACTAAGAAGTTAGACGCTTTTCGAAATTTCGAACTTATTACGCTGCAAAATTCGATGCTTGTCGAACTTTCGAACTTGATAGACTAAAAAATTCGAGGATCTTCTAACTTCTTACACTACGCTAAGAAATTCGATAATTTTCGAACTTTCAAACTTATTAATCTAAAAAAACTTTGAATCTAAAAAATTCAAAAATTGACGAACTTCCAATTCCTGAAAAGTCAAAAGTTCGACGAACTTCGAACTTTTAGGGTAAAAGTTCGAAGGTCGTCGAACTTCGAAAGACCGCCGGGCGGTTTCATTTGGATTCAAGCAGTGAGGTACAATCATAATTTTTTTTCTTCGCAATTTTACATGCGGTGCCGCATTCCTTGCAAAAGACAAGGCCGTTTATTTCAATCGTCTGGCATGCTTGGTTATAAAGAAATAGATTCCCGAAGGAGCGAGGAAGGACGACAGGTTTTTGACAATTGTCGTTTGTGCCATATTTGAAGCGCGCTATAGCCGAAGCTATTTATGGTACAGATGTTAAACTTTAAGAATGACCTATGTATAGCGTAGGTAAGTGTCGTCTTACAATATGATTATTGTTGTTCAAGACCGAGTTTGGAAGAAATATCCAAACCCTACGAGCAATTGTACCTACGAGCAATTGTGCCCTAAACTTGGTCATTTTTTTTCACCTGCATTGTTAGAGGTATCACATTTAGATTAACACCAGAGACAGTACATATCATTACCATCTGCAGAATACAAAATAATGTATTTATTGTTTTTTTTCACGTTGAGGAATAAATTAACTCATGGGGGAAGATTTCTAAAATTGCTCAAGTTAAGCATGTCATAAAAAAAAGTTTTTTTCCTCATTTTACGTTTTTGGGACGTTTCTTTTGGCCTGTACACATTTTGGTAGGAGAAACTTGTTTCATAGTTCTGGGCCTCTGAATATGCAAGAATACAACACTTCCGGCGGGTTCTTGATAGTTTTTTTTCTCTTTCCAGCTTTTGATTTTTGCATTTATTGTTATGTTTATTTATTGATTATTTTTTACCAATGGCACAGTTACTTAGGTCGAAAAGACATAGGTTTGAACTTCCGAGCCACCGAGCATGTGACGAGTAGTGCCTTCTGACGAGTTTCTAACAATGACCATCTACGCGATCTTTTATGCAGTGAAGAGCGACAGTAGCTATGCATATGCATAAATAATTTCAGATTAAAATAAGCTCAACCACGTCCCCTTTCCCCGTAATGTTTTCTTTAGCGGTCCGAAATATCTGGGGGGGGGGGGGGAGGGGGAGGGAAGGGAGTCTGGATACCCCCCCCCCCCCCTTCTCCCTCCTTTTTCCTCTTCCGACGCCACTCGTATGGTAGAACGCTCCTCGACCTCAAGTTGCGTCAGCTTCTGTGCTTTTTGCACGGTGTTTCTTCCGCCCCAGAAAATAAACCTCCAAAGCAATTGCAAACAAAAAATTGTGAAGATGCAGGCGAGCTGGTATACGGTGATCATGATGCAAAATCCCGAGACTGGGAATGAAATTTGCAAGAAATAGTGTAAGAAGAAAGAAAAAAGGGGACAGGACAACGTCTCAAAATCAACTGAGTTGAGTTTGAGACGTTGTCCTGAGCTGAGTTTTCAGCTGAGTTGAGTTTGAGACGTTGTCCTGAGCTGAGTTTGAGACGTTGTCCTGTCCCCTTTTTCCTGTCTTCTTACACTCTTTCTTTCAAATTTCATTCCCAGAGCTGAGTTTAAGATGTTGTCCTGTCCCCTTTTTTCTGTCTTCTTCCACTTTTTCTTTCAAATCTCATTCCCAGTCTCAGGATTTTGCATCATGTACAAACTAAACTTACTGTATGCCAGCGTCGCTCGGGCGGCGTTCGATTGGATTACTTCCAGCGTGCAAAGGGGTAGGGGGGCAGTTTGCCAGATCACTTCAAAGTTTTTCTGAGCTTCAACCACCTGCCTGCCCCTGGCCGTTTCGAACTGGATGAATATCGTTAAACAGTGCGCTTGTAGGATCACTACTTCGTGATGCACGTTAACGACCACCCCGGGCTGGCGGTCGCAATTACTGATCTATTGTCACACGTCACACTGCACTGGCAAGTATTCCAGCACATCCGGGACACTTGTCGTATCATTTAATTGCCTGACCAGCTTCTCGCAGTCTAAATATCACACCCGAACCTTTCTAAACCTGATTTCGTGAAAACCAGTGAGGCGTGAAAACGTTATTTGAAACTGAAACTGTGGCGGAACATAAAAACCAGACTTCGAACTTTGCGCACTTGGACTTCAAAAAATTAAAAACCTTTGAAGATTTTTTTTTTTTTTTTTCGAATTTAGCCCTAAAAAAAGAGAATCGAAACCTTCAAACTTTTCAAACTTTAGAAAGAAATTAAAAGTCTTCGAATTTATCGAACTTCATGTCTTTAAGAATTCAGAATGTTCAAATTTTTCGAATTTTAGATCCAAAGAAATTTGAAACATTCGAATCTCGAATTTCAAATTAGGGAAGTTCGAAATCTTCGAATTTATCAAACCTCAAGTAAACAAATATTCGAAATAATCGAACCCAAACTTTTAGAAACTGTGAAAGCTTCGAACTTTTCGAATTCGAAACCCCACGATTTTAGAAAGTTGCGAATTTTTCGAATTCGAACCTTTGTACGGTCAAAAATATCAAAACCTTTCGAATTCGAACATCAGTTCGGTTAGAAAATGTCAAAACTTTTCGAATTCGAACCGAGGGTGGTTCGTGGCATCCCTAGTACAGAGGCAGCAGGAAGTACGGTGGTACTAGTATGCTAACAGTTATAGTGGCATAGGCAAACGGGTGGGGGTATGGTGTTGAATATATTCTTTTCCTTCTCTACTTCTTTTTGTTGTGAACGGATGGTCATGTATACGCAAAGTATTAAGTCTCTTGGCAGTTAGTAATCTGCTGCGTCAGGCTTGCTGCATTGCAGCCATACAGCATCAGAGTTGGAAAAATCGGACCCCATATGGTTGTATTTTTCGCCCCTCCTCCTTGGGCCAGAAAACTGGCCTGCATTATTGTAAAATAAATAAATAAATAAACCTCCTGCAGCCAATGACCACATGAAACACTGGACATTCCATCTGAACGACACAGTAACATAATTTCGTAAGGAAGATAATGATTATCTGGTTTTCACATCCAGTTATTGTTTCATGCTTCCTTTAAAGCTAGTTAGCATCTTTGCTGAATCATGCTTCAACCAGAAGAAAACCCGAGGAGCTACAAAGGGGACACACATTAATTTGGCCTAGTGGCATTCAGTATATCGCAGCCTTGAATACGCACACTGCTCTGCAGGTCGTTGATGGCGTCCGTCCTGCTGCTGTCAATCCCGTAGCTCTCTATGAACGTTGTGTTCAGGCTGTCTGCAAGCTCGTGCCATACCTGCATTTGCGGAAGAAGGCCGGAAAAGTATCACTCTCTTTACGGCGAGCCAAGTGGACCACAACACATCCTTTCTGCATATGAGCTTAAGGAGGGGAGCGCCAATCAAAGGGCAGCACAGGCAGCGTGCAGAGATTTCGCGACGACGAGGTAGCCAGGTGCGCACTGTCGATGGTTGAGGGCAGGGGGAAACAAAGGCATGTGGACGCATTTGGGATGTAAAGAAGCGCACATGGTATGCAAACAGCAGAGGAACTTGCTTGCCATTGTACTTTGTTTTGTCATAAGTCAGTTGAAGGCTCAAGCACATGCAAACACCAACACACATTGTAAAAGTGCAAGTCATTGGGCATTCACTGCACCTTATTTGTTTAGCAGATAAGAGAGCATGTATAGAAAGATGACAAACGGCGTGTCATTGTGCTTTTGACATTGTTTTGATGGTGCCATTGGGTCATACAGCCCCGTTTGTCAGTTTCAAACCAAAGCACATGTAAAGTCCTTCTCCGACCAATAACAGGTTCTGACAAGAGTTTGCTCTTACCTGTTCTTCATAAACGTAGGCGATGACCCCAGCAACAGCTTCAAGCAGGAATATCAGGAGCAGGAGGAAGGTGTACTGGAAATGAGGCAAAGCAAGAAGTAAAATTAATTATGATAATAATATTATTAATAGCTATTTATCTACCATTTACGCGATGGTGGGGTTTGAGGAAAAAAGTTACGAGAACAGCTTGACAGGTTCCCAGTCAGAAACCGCTATGATGCATGCTGATTTGAAATAGCTTGTAAGATTTAATCTGACTGATTTGCACCTTATGGAAGCGGGCGATGCCACTTGGCTTCAGCCCTAATGTTGCGGCTGTAAAAGCTTTACCCCTGATGCCTTCACTGTTCCAAGAAATCCTGCTTTCAGTTTGCAAGGGACACAAATCAGGGACTCCAAATAAAACTCAAGGGTGCTGAAAGCTGGTAGAAAGGACTTTGAAAGGAAACTCTTGGTGGCATCATAGTGGCAGCTGACAGAGACTTACGTAAAGTACTGAGCATACCACTTTTGAGACGATTAAAAATAGGCGAAGGACATATAACGTGCCCACCCCAAACTTCTAAATCCACCTACTGTCGAGGGCGGTTATAACGAAGTCGGTTATAACAAAATAGCGGCTACAGCGAAGCGATGACGATTTCCCATTTCCGTTTGCACTTTTTCAATGCACTTGTGTCTGTTTTTAGTCAAGGAAATCGAGTGACTCCCGCGGATATAGCAAAAAAAATATTTTGTGATAATAAAAAAAAAAAAAAAAAAAAAGGAATAAAATTTGGGAAGTTTATGAAGTCTCGGACCGCCGCAGTTTGCTCTGCGGCCAAGAAGCCACCCAGAACAGGCTGGGGAAGATCCACGTGACCCCCATCGAGCAGTTGCCCCACCTCTTAAATCTAGGCTCTCTATACCGACTTTAGACAAGCTTGAGCGCGAACTCGGTGCCGTGCGCGCTTCTTTGTTTGCTTTGTGATCCGTGTCGGCGTCTGGTCGGTGAGGTCGCTCTTGCGCGAAAGTGTACTTCGCTCAAGCACAGATTCGGCGAATCATTGCCACTCAACGATGGAGAGTCCCGGCGCCGCCGGCACCTCGATGGGGAAGACGAAGGCAATCTCCTTGAATCAAAAGCGTGCCATCCTCGACGGAGTGCGCATAAACGTAAAGAATGCCATCCACCGCCGGCATCCTCCGCGGGGCCGACATGGTCCGCACGTATAGGATCTTTTTTCGATCGGAGCTTCTCGCAGTTGTCAAGATGGGTCCATATCACAAGAGCGAATGACATTTGAGCGAACGGCGACATTTGAGCGAATGGTCGTTTTAGCGAACAACGGGGGCGCGCGTTAACCCATCCGTCGCGCTGCGCTTTACGCCGCTTCGCGGCGACAGTCTACGGCAACTCATTACAAAAATATGAACTCACTCGGCCCACCCGAAAACGCCGCTTCGCGACGTCCGACTATTCGCTAAAGTGTCATTCGGTGAAACGTGGGCGTTCGCTAAAACGTCATTCGATCAAGTGAGTGCCTCCCTGTCGAGATGCGGCTCCTATGTAGCAGAGGACGCGTGCAGGGAAGCTTCGACTGCTTTCTGCAGGCTCGCTAAACATGTGCAGTGGGGGAAGTGCCGCGCCAAACTGCGCCAGAACGAATAACCTGCTACGTGCTACTCCAAAGGCTGTATTTGTGCACGATTTGCGCCATGTCTTCGCCGAAAGGGAGCTTATCTCAAAAAGGAAACTGAAAGTGGATGGCACGTGGCATTGTTGGCGATGTCACTAAAAATAAGTACAGTTCTTTTTTTATGCCTGAGTATTATGTGCGAAGAGTAGGGCTGCGCGAATATTCTCAATTTCTAGTAGTAGTTTCAAATAATACGTTGTTTGATATTCGCTTCTAAATGAACTGCGATATTCGTACTTTTCGAAGCGTTGATCGCGGCGGGTTATCTCCCTTGAGTGCGCTTCTCCTCAAGCACCGGTGGACTGCGGAGAAGCAATACCCACGGAGCGGACACAGCGATTTGGCGATTCGCTTCGCCGCAGTGCAGTCGCGCACTTGGGTAAAAAACACACCTTCAAACTAGCATGGTGCACGCGCGCGCCAAAAGTATATATAAAAAAAAGATCGAGGAAGTTTTGCGATTGTTGATATTACATTGCAGTAAAATCTTCAAAATTTAACTGGCTTTTATGCAAGGGTATGTGTTAGGCAGCGATGTTCTAAAAAAGCCGTGTTCATTAGCTGTGCTTGTTTTTTTTTTTTTTTTTTTTTGTTCTTTCTTGATTCAGATTTAAATATTTTCATATAGCAAGAATATTTCTAAATCCCCTCAATTAGGTATGGCTCGGCTCCTTTATAGGTCTAATTTTAGGTCAAATCTGTCGTTTCCTTGCCATTCCAATGTAGGTACTGGACTTTCTGAGGTTACTGTCTATAAATATAGCTAGACTAAATTTTTCAGAACTCGTGAGTTGGCAATAAGGGGCTTAGAAACAACCTTTGCGAGTTCAGCTGAATTTCCGTTTAAGCAAGGTGTAATAGTAGAGAAAGGCGCGGAGAAAGGCGCAGCAACTCTTCAGTATTCGATTCAAAAATATTCGGCCAAAACCACTATCCACTTTTGAATTTGCTTCGAACCCAAAATCCATTATTTGCACATGCCTAACAAAAAATTAACGTTTTTTTTTTTACCGAACAGTGTTAACATTGATCGCAATGAATAGCTAGCGCTACTCGTTGTGATCAGTTAGAGTAGCCATGTGCTCCGCTTAGCTGCTCTATGAACAGCAGCAGGTTGAATATGAGAGCAGCGTGAGACATATTCAAAACAAAAGTGTCCGTTTTATGTCGAACTCGCGATAATTACGTCACCATGATACAAGCTCTACAATGCAGCCAAAAACATGTTTTTTTTACGTCAAATACAGACCGAAAACGCCATCGGTACTCCTAATAGGTTAATTGAGTGTTCTACGAAATTGCCGGCATACGATTGTTCAATAAATAAATAACTATATATACAGGCCAGGTCTTCTGTAGGAATAGTACTTTAGTCTGCCAAAACTCGAACAACTGCAGTTTTTTCCACGGGCTAACCTTCGAAGAGATCGTATACAACTTTCTGACATGAAAGCTAAAAATTGTCTGCTCTAAAAGTGGGAATCTCTGCACCAAAACCAGTTCTTTCCCTGCTACAATAGCTTCTCCAAATCACCACTTGTCAACTCTACACACTGCATGTGCCCGTGACAACCCGTGTTATCTTCTTTTTTCTTTAATATTATTTGTATGAGTTCATATATAACGAAAAAGCGGATATAGCGAAGCGATTTCCGATTCCCGTTGACTTCGTTACAACCGGTCTCGGCAGTATTAAAAATATTTAAAAAAATAATAATTGCAGTTCACCCTACGAGCCATCCCAGTGCCGTAAACGTGCCACGTGACTGCGCTCCCTGTTCGAAGGTCACGTGATACTTACACGGCACAGGATTGGCTTCGCCTGCCCGTAGCACCCTTTGCAGCTTGAGGAGAAACGAGGAATCGAGATTCGCTTCCGCGCCGCTTCTCCGAGGACACCGGTGCAAAGCGGAGAAAGCCCCCGCGCGCGCCGGGGCCGGTGTACTGCGGTGAGGCCCAAGCTGGCCGCGCCCTCTAGAGAATCGGGTATATATCGGAGCGTAGCTTATGTTTACTTCAGCTGACGCTGCCAGCTAAGGGGACCGATCGAGCAGCGTCCAGAGCGCGAATCACTAGGCTTTTTTACAGCGGAGCTGTTGAGGGCAAGATTCTCCAGGATCGCGTCCCCTGCAAAGAAATGAAGACACCGAACCAACCGAACTCTGGACACCTACCGCCATCTATGAGCGACGGCGGCAAGCCACCTATCTGGTTGCAGTCGTCGCTCATAGATGGCGGCAGCCTTTCCACTCTGGCTTGCCGAGTTGCGGCTGGCCATTACTTTCTATTGTACAGCACCGCTGGTCTTCCTTCTTCATCAGAGTGGAAAGGCTGAAAGTTTTGTTTGTGGTTGGTTCAGCAATGGTAGAACACGTACAGAAGCACGGCGAACGCCATGATGGTACGATTTTGACGCCGTCTGATTAGTCCCATCAGCTCTTATCGTCGTCGGCTGCGTCTAGTATACGTGGCTCTATTCCTCTCCTGGACCGGCCGCATGTGAGCTTCACGAAAAAAGATGCGCGACGTCCTGCGTAGTTTGACGTACCGCTAGCAGGAGGCACCGGTTCAGCCTCCAGATGGCCACGCATCCCATGATGGTCACCAGGATGACCAGCACGCCGGCCAGCACCAGCATGTAGGCCGTGGAGGCGTACGTCGCCGTGACCAGCAGGCTCAGGTGGTGCCGCTTGGCCAGCAAGGTCCACACGCCCACGCCCAACACCGCACATCCTGACAGCTGCAAAGGGACGGTGGAGGGATCATCAGTCGCCGAGGCCGATTGTGGAACTCGAGCATTCAATGGGTGGACGTTTTGAGGTTTTGTTGGGGTGAGCGCTAAGGCGGTTGAAAGATTTATGATCGATGTCTTGTTCTTCGAGAGAATAAAAAAAAAAACAAAAAAACATAGCTACACGCCTATTGTTTGCATGTATTATTATAGTCGGTGACACTCATTGCGCTGTTTTAGTAGCGTTTCGACACGTTATGGAGGCTCCTCCGACCTCTCTCCACTTGAGCTGAGCGAACGCTGTCGCCTCCTCTCCAGCGTTCGCTTTGCTCAAGTGGAAAGGGGTGGAAGGAGCGTCCAGTTTACTCCCAACCCGTCACATCCAATAGTTCCTAGGCCTTCAGCACTAACGGAAAGTCATTGGTAATGTATTCAGACTGGATGGCATGATCTAGCGATATGGGCACGTTGCCTGCGCTAGGTGCATCACTATGCGCATATCGATGTTGCAGTCACACTGAGCAAACACGCACGCGCGCACACACAAACACCTGATTTAGACTGTGAGATCTCGCTTGCGATTTCGCACTTGCGACCTCAAGCACCGCTGCTTCCAGCACGCTATTTTCGACGCACGAGCGATGTCACACCTGCGAAATAGTAACTAGAGTCGTATCATGTGTTTCTTGGCACTTCTTGACAAAAGTGGGCCGCAGATGCGAGCATTCACAAAATGGAGCTCATTTGCCTTCATTGTATTTTCAATGGTCCATTGACCGCTATGAGCAGCGCTTTATCGTGGTCCTTCAGCTGCATTTTTATCGATCTGTGACCTACATCTCCGTTAACCCTAATCGCAAGCAACAAGCAATGAAGAGAATAGCGTTTCTACTAAACTGGCCACTTACTCACGGGGAAGAATTCGGAAAGCGAAGAAGAAAAGGTGACCGCTTTCTAAGACCGACTAAACGCGCCCTACCTAGCTTCATATCCAGAGGGCGTGACCTGCGAAAAAGACGAGGTTCTGACATAAAGTAGTGAGGGGTGCTGCAAAAAGAGAATAAAGCGTTTGAGCCGTTCCACCCCGCGGGCGTGACCGGGCCATCTTTCGGGGCCTTTTAGCACGCCGTCTTCGATTATCGGAACCGTTAATCAAGTTGCCCCAGCCTCTCAGCACGGGGTCCCTGCGCTTCAGCGAGCGGGCGGCAAAAGTGCCCAGTCATTAGCGGGGGTTCGAGGGAGGGAGAGCTTCCCGCGGCGTCCGTTGTGCTCCGCTGGACGGCGCGTCGGTCGGCGGCGCACCGGAGCACTTTGAAGTTCAGCTTTGGGTTTGAGCGTGGAGCGCGCTCATTTCGCGGAGGCATCGGGCTTGTTATGCTCCATTTAGTGGCACCACCATTCCCCCTATGCTAAAGTGTGCTGAAGAAATAGGGGCGAGTGTTACGAACACTGACAGTTATCGGCGATCATACATCGTAAAAAGGACACGGAGTACACGGAGTATGTGTTCGAAGCCTGTTCGCTTCTTACGTGTGATAGGTTTTGTCTGGATGGATGGATGGATTTTAATGGCTGTACCCTTCGTAACGGGCGGTAACTTGCGCCATCTAGTCTCAAAAGGCTTAGACCACTTTATGTCAGAAGGAACCAATGTGAGGGACCATCGTACGAGGAAGAAATCGCGCCTCAGGCATCAGACAGTAACACCTTTTGGCGGGCTAGTTGGTCCATGATTTGTAGAAATAAATGAACTGCGCAAAGGACGAGGTCAGAGGTAGAAACGAGTATGACACACGGAGCGCAGTTCCGTGTGTCGTACTCGTTTCTACCTCCGTCCTCGTCCTTTGCACAGTTCATTTATTTCTACAAACCAGACAGTGTTTACAGGCTGTCTTTTGTATGATGTCTTGGCAGTGTGACCGCGGTCTTAGAATTCCTTAGAATTTCCCCATGGCTCCCTTCGCGCGCGCAATTCCTTGGAAGTTTGTGCCCTATATTTCGGTTACAAAAAAAAAAAAAAGAAAAAAAAAAAAAGGAAAGCCGTCGAAAACGGGCGTGCTCGCGGCTTCGGGCTGCGGTCTGGAGGCGACCTCATTTTCCTCGGGCCTGTTGTTTTCCAGGGAAAAATAAGAGCGCTCGCGCCCGGCAGCTTCGTGATAAATGGCGGCTTGTTTCCGACGGGGGTGCCCATCGTGCCTTTGAGCGGGAAGAGGCGCGCTATGGCGTACCGACCACCGCTTAGCGTGCCGCATTTGCCAAACTGGGTTAGCACCCGATGCATAGTCCGCTAAGACAAACTTGGACTAAAAGAAGAAAAAGTCTTCTAAATCTATTTGCATAGTCTGAACTACGTAAAATGTGAACGTTGAAACGTGCTTAGTCTGTGGACTATACGACGAGGATGGGCTGGAAATGAGCGCGTTTTACCCGTAGTAGTACCCGTAGTGTGCAGACACGCAGCCGGGCCTTGAAATCGTTTCCCGCAGGAACCGCGAGAAGGCTGAAACGTTCATGTTTCACTTTTCCGTCGTGCGGATCTGCTATATATATATATATTTTTTTTTTTTTTTCATCTTTTTTCCCTGACACGAAAAGCAGCGGGCCAGCCAGCTTTCTCCAGTCCGGTTAATTAATCTCTTCGTATTTCCAATAAACCACTTTTCTTTTTTTCTGCTGTAACCATTAACGAAATAAAACAGCGCAAACGAACACAAGGACAAGTAGAAGAAGGGACACAGACACAGCGCTGTCCCTTCTTCTACTTGTCCTTGTGTTCGTTTGGTCTGTTTTATTTCTATGTTTACAATGCATCACCGACTAGCCCACCTCCAAACATTACTGCAGTAACCATTAACGACTTGCCAGAAGCAGCGATTTAGCTTACTGTGGCTTTGGCAGACCTCACATTTTGTGTTGTTGATCTTGATTCATAAAGATTCTTCTTCTTCTTCTTCGTTTTCTTCTTATTATTATTACTATTAAAGGAGCTGAGCAACGATATTCAATTGGAATGTTTTTCACTACACACGAGCTTACTGGCACTAGTGGGAGTCAAGGATACTCGCACGCAACTCCGCTGGCCAAGAAACTCCTTTGTTGCGGTGTAATTTCAAGGACAAAAGCGATCATTTTCATTCAATCTCTCCTTTGCAAAATTCCATGACGTAACGTGGGTATTGCAGTACACCCATATGACGATATTTGAATGATGTTCATAGATTGGACCCGAGCATTGCGTGAGCACTCGATTTGGGCTAGTGATAATTACCAGCTCGAGAAGCATTCGGGTAGTGACCCGTGTCCAATCACTGCAACGACGACAACAGCCGAGCCATAACAATGTCTGGAACTCAGCGCGTGCCCTGTGCTTTGCCAACCCCAGCGCGTGGCTATGATCAACATTGGCGGCATATAATCGGCTCCAGATCACGTGGCCGCTTGTTGTGGCTGCGAGTTGAGGGGGTGAACGCTGCTCGTTTTTTTTTTAAATTTTTTTCTGGGACTCCTATTGCGTGGGGTGAAAAACCAACGCGTGTTTCATAGGTCATTAATGTCAGGGATCCGTTCTCTTAAGCGGTATTTGCGCAAAGTATACAAAAATTGTTGCATCGCCCCTTTAAGACTGTGAAGGAAGCATGCATATCGAAGGCTGATCGAGGCACGTAAGCGCGTTGAGACGCGATTCAAGTGTCACTGGTGTATTTTTTTTTGTATTTTTTACATTAAACGCAAGAAAAAATTTTAAAAATTTGTAAAAGAAAAAAAAAGTTTGACTTTGTAACATGGCCCTAAAGCTGAATCTAATCTATCCCTTTCATGCAACTCTAGATAGCTGTCACCGGGAAGTCCCTTAGTCAGACGTAGGCTGCCCCTTTAAAACTTTCAGGATACATTTTTTTTCTTTGTTTTTTTTCACGCTTTTTGATGTGACGCTGGCCCTAAAATGCATGTAACGTCGTGAATCGCTGCCCGGAAGAACTCCACTAGACACCCACCTCCGTGCGACAGTGAATCGTGTAAAAACCAGCCTCTCTCTCTCTCTCCCCCCCCCCCCTCTCCCCCCGACCGTTTTGCTTTATTTGTTTGCCCACGAAAACAAAACAAAAAAAAACACGTCTAGTCGCGGTCTGGTGCGGACAAAAAAGGAACTACCCGGTACGTCCAACAAACTTGTTAAATACGTACCAAGACAATTTTTTTTTCTGTTTTTCTATTTGTTGTTTTGTCCTTCTTTAGGACCGGCCCAGCAGGCGATCTCTCATTGTGGCTCTCGGTTTTTGGTTACCAACGGCGTCTTTGTTGCTCACAACGCGTGAGACTCTTCGGACTCTGCCGGACCCTCTCGCAGACTCAAAGGCAACTCCCTGTTTTCTTTAACTTCTTTTTTTTTTTTGTGTGTGTGTGTGTGCTTTACTTTTTTTTTTTCTTCTGCTTTATGTGCGCGATTGGACCGCGGAGGGGAGGCTACGAGTCGTCCCTATGCCAATCGGACGCTGTGACAAAGTAGACGTTCCTCGTTACTGCGATCCAAAAGGAACGCTTGACACCAGCTTGAAGGAAACGCGTTATTCTCTCCTTTCTCTGGACGTGTCGCGAGTTCAATACTTGTCGTTATTAATTCCTCGCTATTTTTTTTTTTTTAACACGTTCATTCGGGGATAACTGTGGCTGTACCGACATTCCTTGTGCACGTCTCTTCCTGGTCTATCTAGCGTTTTCTCGTCGTGAAAAGGGTGAGAACTAGGTTGGGGGCACTTGTTCTATAGACCTCTGCATCGCTTATCACCCGGGCGAAAAATGCTGAGTCACTGAGCTATGGACGCATGCACACTCTCAGATATACCGCACAGCAACGCAACGGCGCATGCGCAGAAGGCGTTCCACAGCCAAACAGACGAAGATGGCAGAGCGCAGAAGCTTCAAACTTGTAACGGGTAGGGTACATAGCTGCACGTGACTATACGCTTTTACGCGTCGAAGGTCACGTGACAGTCGCACAGCGTTGCATT